TTATGTCAAAGTTTAGGTATCAATAAGAAATACATAATATTTAAGGATTGATGCAGTGCTATAGATGTAAATTCTCCCGTAAAAAAGAAATAGCATCACTTCATCACATTATCCTTAAAATTAAAAATAACATTATAATTGCATTCAACTAATTAGTATTTAACTTGCACATCGCATATATCATTATTTCTTAACTTAAAATTAACATTTAATGATCAACAAATCATAAGCGAATCACCAAACACTGCAATATCACATTCATAATAGAAAGTAAACATTTAGCCAAATAATGAACGTAACCATAACGTATTGACATATGAAATATGCATGGATTAAAAAAATAAAAATTATGAATGTAGTAGGACTTAATTAGAGTTCATGAAACTACATGGACTCAAAATCATTTAACAACAAATATATGTACTAATTAATCTCTAAAAATTATCTCTGAATATTTGCAAACCAAACCAATCTAATCTTCATCAGTTGATTATTTTCTTATGCTATTCTAACAAAAGTAATCGCAACATTATATTAATCCAAAAGTCCTCTTCAAATATGTTGGAGTACGGCCGATTTATAGATTTTAGAGATGTGTTCTGATCATTTATATCAAAAAATCTAGAAACACCAATGGATGCTTAAAAAAGTATCCCTTTTTTTCTCAATATCTTCCAACAAATTTGTTTATTTTAGTGCTCTTTAAGGAGGGAGTATGTTTTGGATATTATTTGAAGAGCAACATTAAATCAATATGTAATATGATTCCTAAAAATTGAAGTACATGAAGGTTTAAAACTCCCACAATGATATCTAGAAATGTGCTGCCAAAAATTTGATTCCACAGAATTGTTAAGAAAATATCATTTTTCAATCATTTGATGTTTCTAGACCTTATAATGCCTTGTGAATTTATATATAGGCAAAATTATAAAAAAAACATCCAAATTTGAACTTGTGAAATGCATTACTTTATTCTGCAAAAAGAAATCATAACACAAACGTAACCTAACCCAAAAACTCACCAGATACCGAGCAACTACAAGCAGTCTGGGAATATGAGCACCACACTATTCAAGTAAACGTAAGGCTGAATGGTGCAAAACATTGAATGTAATAAGAAATTTAAGCCAAAAAAGGGCACACCAATGCATCAATAAAATAAAAACTAATTACAAATTATCAATATTGATTGAGTTAGTCAACTCCATAATTGCAGTAACAATATCACCATCAGCCGCATTAAGAGCCTTCACAGCTTTTCCCCTCGAAACACCAGCCTGAGTCATAACAAGCTCAATATCCTTCGGCTCCACACCACTCTCATCGACTTCTTCATCGTCCTGAGAGGCGGCAGACGTCTCCGGCTTACTTATCACATGGCTCAGATCAGGGGCCCTGAACTGTTCGGCATCCTGGGTTTGCAATTGGGATCTTAGATCTTCGATCTACGCTTCGCCAAATATTACGTAAGTATTTGAGTTTGGGCTTTTGAATGCATCTGGCTTCGAAATAGCGAAGAGTATCTGGATGGGATAGGTGAGCTCACATTTTTGGTCTTCTTTATTGTATCAGGGCTAACACCACTTATTGGCTTCATTCCAAGCTTCAGCATGGCCTTTCTGCTCTTTTTTTCACTTCTGCTCTGCTTAGACCTGCCACTTGCATGACTTCCTTGACCAGTACTGAATTTGAAACAGAAACAGGATTGCAGAAATGCAGGATGATAATGCTTTTCTAGTAGACACAATAGCTCCATGATATTTGGATTATGAATTGAACAGAAATTGATTTAATTCTATGTGAGGGTGGATCGATTGATATTAATCTGATTCAACTCAAATTAATTTGACATGTACGCACACATAAATAAAACAAATTGACATATATGTCCGTATGAAGGACAAATATGATTGTGACATTGTATTTTTTTAACCCATATATAGAATTAATGTCTTCATTTTATTCATCATAGGCAATTAGATCATAGATGTTTGAGGATGCGCTTGATTAATTAATATTATATAGCATGACTTATTATAAATAAAGTGTCATGATACGCATAATAATTAGATTATGATTATTGAATGAGCGAAATGTTGCACGGCTTATACCTCCTCTAAGTTGTGCCAAGTTTCATATTTTCCTCTATCAACCATATTCCTCGACCTCTTTAAAGGCTTCATTCATATCTTCTATTGTAACTAAACATTGATTGGTTTCAGAGCTCAATTTCATCCTATACTCATCAATCACAACACAACAAGATGTTCATCTATATATTGAATTATCTGCAACATTCTTTGCAGGAAAAGATTTATTTTATTTTTTAAAATCAAATCAAAATATTGATATTTCTAATGTGATGTGAAAGATTTGGGGGGTTATGTCAAAGTTTAGGTATTAGATATGTAAATATAAAAGAGTTTAATTGGTCCAGAATTATTTGGAACATATCTTTATTTTTTATTTTTTGTTTTTTTCTGAACAATTAGTTGGAACACAAAGTGAAAATTGTGAAAGAAAATTTTCACATATTTAACACCTAAATTTTATTTTTTTTACATTTATACCACACAAATCTTTCATATCATATAAAAATATCATTAATTAAACTTTAAGAAAATAAAATGCACCATCTTATCCAAAATTTAGGTGGCTTATATATAAACATTTCAGTTTAGAGGTCAGATGTGTAAATACATAGAAATCAAATGATATGTATATAAATCTTCCAAAGAAAATATGAATATTTTCTCCAGGCTAAGATGGGATGATGGCGACAAGAGAATGAGTGTGACCTTCATTTAGGCCTAACAACAAGAAGATTTATTAACCTCGTTAATAGTGTGTTAGTGTCATTACCAAAGGATAGTTTATTGGGATGTATAAAGACAGAAATGTCAAACTTCGTTTTCCTTCGGTTTATGTTTTCTCTACAGAGAGATAGGAAGCTCTGGAAATAATCAAGCTATCAGGCACCTAGGGAGAAGGTGACGGCCAGTTTACCAATATGAAAGAGTTCAGAGTTGCGGTCTCCATATATCAAGTCGAGATAAGGTTTTCATGCGACTGAGAATTTCATTTCATGCAAGAAATATTACCTTCTTTTATGATAATCATAGTGCAATTTATGTCAAACTAAAATTTATAGGAATTTGTTATATATAGCTCATATTTAGTTGTTTTCAAAAAATAGGGCATTATAAGATGAGTTAGTGCTTAAAATTAGAAGAACCAACTATGTTGGTCTAGAACAATGCATTCTTTTAGAGCTGCAAACAAACAATGTCGGGTCAAGCAAGATAGTGTAAGCTGGAGACTGAGCTGAGAGAGCATTC